ATCCACTAAAATATGTTTGGACTACAAAACAGAGGTAATCGAGACAGTGTGGTTTGAGCATAAGGATAGGCATACAGAGCAATGGAATAAAAGTTAGAATTCAGAAATAAAGCCATATGTACATGGTCAATTTTTAATGAGGATACTAAGACCATTCTATGGGGAAAATGAATGGTGCTGGGACAACAGCAACAAATAGTGCTAGGACAGGTGGATAGGCACATGCAAAAGAATGAAGTTGAACTCTCACCTCACATCATGTACAAAAATTAACTCAAAATGGACCAAAACCTAAATGTAAAAGCAAAATTTATCAATTACTTAGAAGAAATGATAGGGGTAAATATTCATGATTTTGAATTTGGCAAGAAATTCTTAGATATGACACCAAAAGTACAAGCAACAAAAGAAAAAGTTATACTTCATAAAAATTGTAAACTTTGTGCTTCAAAGGACATAATCAAGAACATAATAAGACAACCCACAGGATGGGAAAAAATATTGGCAAACCATTTATCTGATAAGGAAACTTTATGTGAAATATATACAAAAACTCTTACAATTCAATAATAAAGAATCACATAACAAAATAAAAAATTGGGGCAAAGGATCTGAATAGACATTTTTCCAAAGAAGATATAAAAATGGCCAATAAACCTATGAAAAGATGCTTGATATCATTAAGCATCAGGGGAGTGCAAATTAAAACCACAAGATTTCATTTCACACCTATTAGGATGTGTAAAATAAAAAGAAAAGACAGATAACAAGCATTGGGGAGCATGTGGAGAAATCAGAACCCTCATACACTGCTGGTGGGAATGTAAAATTATCTAGTTGTTTTGGAAAGCAGTCTGGCAGTTGCTCAAACAATTAAACACAGAGTTACAATATGATCCAGCATTTCTACTCTTAGATATATACCCAAGAGAAATTAAACCTTATGTCCAAACAAAAACTTGCACCCAAATGTTTATAGCAGCATTATTCATAATAAGCATAAGGTAGAAACAATGCATATGTCTATCAACAGACAAATGGATAAATAAAATGAGATATATCTATATGATGAAATATTATTCAGGCATAAAAAGGATTGAAATACAGATACATGCTAAAACACAAATGAACCTTGAAAACATAAGTGAAAATAAATCTGTTACAAAAGATCACATACTATATGATTTGATTCACATGAAAGCCCACAATAGGGAAATGTGTTGAGACAGAAAGTAAATATGTGGTGCTTAGGGCAGAAGTGGGAGCAGGGATGGGGGAATAGGGGGTAATAGCTAAAGGATACATTGTTTCTTCTCAAGATCATAAAAATGTAATAAAATTGTAGTGATGGTAGTGCCTATATGTGAATACACTAAAATATACTAATATACTAAAAACTACTTTAAATAGGTGAATTATACGGTATGTGAAGCCTATCTCAATGAAGCTGTTAAAAATGCAATATGGTTATAGATTTGTGGAATAAACTTGAGAAGCACTATAATGTAAATTAACACTCTTGTACACCTATGAAATAGTCAAACCAAGTTTCATGAGACTAACAATATTTGTAATCAAGAATATTCTTTATTTGAGAGACCCCTCTGCCCAGAAGCAGGCAAGGAGCATGCCTCGGGTCCTAGGCAGGAGCCGAGGGCAGCCCCCTCCACCTGGAAGCAGGCAAGGAGCATATTGAAAACACAATTTCCACATACAGGGCCCACCACAGACACAGCTGCTGCAAAAGCAACTCGATGCCACAGCAGTAGCCACAGCCACCATACAGGTGGCCTGCCAAACACTCAACTGCTTTGATACAAAGAGAGTCACCAGAGGAGACCAGAAAAAAGAAGAGAAAATCTCTCTCCTCAAAGCCCACTCTAGAGTAATGGAAGAAACTGCTCTACCAGATGACCAAACATCAACACAGAGAACTAGAAATATGAAAATCCAGGAATATATGGCATCACCAATAGAATGCAGTAATTCTCAAATACCAGACCCTATAAAACAGGCAACCCTTGAAATGACTGAAAAGGAATTCCAAGCAACTATCTTAAAGAAACTCACTAAAATATGAGAAGACTCAGTTAGACTGAGAAATGAGAAAACAAACAAACAAACAAACCAAAATAAAAAAAACAAAAAACCCAGGATATGAAGGAAGAAATTTACAAAGAGATTAATACCTTAAAACAGAATGTAGCAGAATTCATGCAACTGGAAGATTCCTTCAATGAAATAAAAAATGCAACTGAAAACTTAAACAGCAGGTTAGAACAAGCAGAAGAAAGAATTTCTGATCTTGAAGATAGTCTTTTTGAAATAATCCAGGCAGACAAAAAGAAGAAAAGAATTTTAAAAATGAATAAAATCTAAGAATGCTAGCAGACAAACTTAAGCTCACAAACATTCGAATCATGATTTCCAGAAGGGGAGAAGAAAGGAAAAAGAATGAAAAATCTATTCAACAAAATAATAACAGAAAATTTCCCAGGTATAGGGAGAGACATAGGCCTTCAGATCCAGTATGCCCAAACACATTCAAGCCAAAAAGATCCTCTCCAAGACAAACTGGCAAAGCTCATTATAGTCAAACTGGCAAAGCTTGAAGACAAACAGAGAATTCTAAAAGAAGCAAGAGAAAAGTGTCAAGTCACCTATAAGGGAGCCCCTATCAGACTAACAGTAGACTTCTCAACAGAAACTCTACAGCCAGAAGAAAAGGGGATGAAATATTCAAAATACTAAAAGGAAAAATTTCCAGAAAAGAATACTATACCCAGCAAGTCTATGTCTCAGAAATGAGGGAGATGTAGTGCATTTTCCAGACAAACAAAAACTGCAGGAGTTTACCGCCACATGACCAGCCTGGCAAGAAATTCTCAAGGGAGTCCTGCATCAGGAATCTGAAAAATAATATCACTACCAGATACACAAGAAAGAACAAAACCTACTGGTAGAACAAATGCAGACAGGACAGAGAAAGCTAATACTTACCACCACAAAAATCCAATGCAAAAAAAGCAAACAAACTCTCAGTCTCTTTGGAAGATGATAGGGAAACAATTCATTTTTCTTGAACTAGTAAGTAAAAGGGAAGTGTTAAACATTCACCCTGTCTTCCTGTATAAATTGTTCCTCATGGTAACCATAAATAGCTGAGGAGGGAACAAGCTGAGGAGGGAACATTTCATTTTTCTTGAACTAGTAAGTAAAAGGGAAGTGTTAAACATTCACCCTGTCTTCCTGTATAAATTGTTCCTCATGGTAACCATAAATAGCTGAGGAGGGAACATTTCTGTCTATTGAAGTATCCCAGCTAGTAAATAAAGAGGGAATAAAATAATTAGAATATGGTACTTTACAAATCTCTATTGAAATAATAGATCTAGCAAATGATCATCAATATCTGCCAGTGTCATTGAGAGATGATCAGAAATAATGGGCCTCCTGCAGTAAGAACATATACCTCTGAAGCCAAATCTAACGTGAGTGATACCAGGACTCAGGATCCAACAACCAATAATCAGGAAATGCAGGGGACAGTGGAACATGTTAAATGACACTACTGGGATGGTGACAGCAAATCCAGACCTTGGGAAACTTTATGGGGTAATGGAGAAATATATGAGATGAAGGGGAACCCACAGATTAGAAGAAACTTAAGAGACAGCTGACATAGCAACCAATGCAAGAAGCAGAACTTGTTTGGATTCTGATATAAATAAATCAATTGTAGGAAAGAAAGAGGGAAGGGGAGAGAATTGGAGAAATTTAAACATGTTTAATGTTTGATTATATTAAAGAATTATTATTGGTTTTCAAATGTGAGTATACACTGCAAAAAAAAAAGAAATTAAAGCTATCAAATTTAAGTTTTCTTGTATTAAAAATGACCTATGCTTATATGTTTAACTGAGAAGTAGGTTAACTGTGTTTTTAAATCATTATAACTTCGCACTTCGAAATCTTCTCTACAAAATTTGTTTGGCTTAATTGTCAAAACTGTGACAATTTGTTCTTTGATGTGATCATATTTCCAATTTCTTGTTCATGTAAGATTTCAGTAAAACTCAAAATGTCTTTACAAAAAAATATTCTTTCTTTGAGATTATTATAATCACAAAAAGAAAGAAATTGCAAAAGTTTTTGAAATGTGTATATATATATAATCCCCTCTCTAATACTCTAATATATATTACAGTATTGTGTGGGTGTGTATGTGTGATGTATTGCTTTCTCATCATAATATAAGATATATATTACAGTAATTGGAATGTCCTTCCTAGTGCTTTTTAGTGTGCTCGTCTGGGTTATCTCCATCTTTACTTATTTTGACATATTTTACTGGTATATTAGTTGCAGAAAACTGATAATACTGTTCATTATTCTTGAGCATAGACATACAAATAAGGTATTCAGTGGAATGCAGCTGATTATTGCCCTAAAGATACAGCAATTTTGCATTAATTTCTAAATTAATTTCAGCATTTTTATATTTTTATATACATGTGATATTTTGAATTCTCCTTTGAATGTTTGTAATGTCTTATTTGTTCCCTTAGTAATTATTGAGCTAAACAAAATCTTTGACACGTCTTCATTTTTTATTTGTGTGAGAGTCATAATTTTGCCCTCTTTTAAAAGTTATCTTTAAAAGCTCTTTTCATTAGTTTTCTTTCTGGTATTTAATACAAAACTACACTATGGAGTATAGTGGCAAAAGGAGACAAATCCCTGAACATTTTCCTATTTCTGGGCATCCTTTCTCTTCTTTCAGCATAAGAAGGAATTTGTGTACATGTAGTTTATTAAGATTTTTCTAGCTTGTAGAATATATTTATAAACTTTTTCTTAATTGGTTTATTGAATTCATTTACTGGTTCATTGAAGACTTTATAGAGATATATTCATTGATTTTAAGTAGTATCCCAATGATTGCTGTAAGAATTATGTTTATAATTAGATAATTCTATACTCCAATAAATGAGAGAAAATCAACTTTAACTCATAACTTTAATGTGTTCATACAAGGAAAAAATAGAGATACACATTAAGAAGGCATAACATGAGTTGTTTTAATTGATCAAAATATCTTGAATATGTTTTACAGATAAATGGTGGTTTCTATTACCAGATTAAAACCAAAAGAAAACTAAAATAAGTTCACATTAAAAAAAATTACAAGCAATAAATACAGCACTACAGCTATCACTAATTCTATGTACATTGGATTACGTTTGAAGAAACAGTAAATTCCAGAATGAACATTTTATGAATAAATGCACTGGAAAATAACTTGGAAAAAAATGACATATTAGAATTTTTAGAAAATTAAAATGTGACTTTCACAAGTGATTGCTGAAAAATGACAGTTGTATATTTTAAAAGCTAGAAATTTCCCAAATTAGTTTTTAGACACCAAAGAAGTTAGCTTTTAAAAAGTATCAGATTTACTTTTCTTTGTGAATAAGGTACAAAGATCTTAATTAGTGTTTCAGCTTTAGAGAAGTCTAACATTTAAAAATTTTACTACTAAAAATATATGGGTACAAAACTAATTCTGATTAATCACAAACCTGAAGGCTGTACAGTAGATGAGCCCTTTCAATAAAAGAAATCTGATCTAAATATAATAGGATAGAAGCTCAATAAAAAAAACTTGAAAATTAAAATATCATTTTAGTATAAAATGTTCTCTGATAATTCAACATTTACTACTGTCATTTATGGTTCAGACTTGACAGTTTGGCTAGAAGGATGCTGAAATATGTGAACACTGTCAGCAGATGATTTGAATCTGCATCTTTGAATAATAAATAGCTAACAATTGAGTTTATTAGAAGGAATTTTCATATAATTTATGCAGTTGGAAGTCCAGAACAGCCTGCATTCCTTTTCACAACAGCTTCCTATGAAATCCATAAATTTGAACGTAACTTAATAACACCTCTACATGTATAGATAAACTATAAATTATTAATGTATTGACCAGACCATTTAATATGTTAATTATTACTAATTTAAATAATTTTCCTTGGCAATTTCAAATGGCTTCTGAACTCACCACCTATTGACGGCTAAAGAAACAATTTATGATGACTAAATCATTAGTTTAATCCATTTTAAGCAGATTGACACACTTCAAAAACACATGCACATAATGACTTCTTCCAACATTGATTTTTACTAATTGAACATTCTTATTCTCCAGTGATTTCAGTGGAAAATAACATTTGGAAAACTGGATCCTATTGAGAAGTCACTTTAAAGGCTTTCTTCCATCTTAATTTAATGATTCCACAAACGTCTGTCTGACAACAATTCTTCCTCAATAATATATTCAAGTCTTTCACTGGTTTGTTATCATATATAGTAGCTCCATTAAAATATTAAAACATTGATATATATTGTATTCTTCTAGTTTATTTTTCTTTAATAATCTGGGATATTTCCAAAGCCAGTATCTTCATCTAGTAGAAGTCAGTAAAGAAATATTTTAATGGGGTAAAATCCATAAGAGTAGCAGACTGGCATTTATTACAGTAGTTTATAATTTCTGGATTAGAATGCAAGTTCATTGTCAAATGAAATGAAGAAATATGTCAAGCACACCTATTATTAAGGTATGGGTCACTACAGCTAATATATTCAATAAAATAATGGCCTTGTGTTTTAAAAATAAATATTTTATATCTTATCACAGACATTTCTGTTCCTTTAGTTCTCAAAATTCTGATGCTGGCATCTGGTTGTCTTTAAAATATTTACCAAATATAGAATTCCAGACTCTATTTTATTATAAAATCAGCCCAGACACAGTATCAGATACTCACATGCATTATGTATTTGCTTTAAAAAATTTACCTATTTACAAGCTTATTTTTTGCAATTTTTTTTTACAAACTTCCAAGAAAATAAGAAACCCTTCATTGATATCCTTCACGTAAAATGATTTCTAACTTGTCTACACTGTAGAAATGGAAGGGGCAAAGTTTGTATTTACAGATAACAGAGAAACCAATTCCCTCCCACTTGTGTAGTAAGACAGGCAAGGAGCTAGTAAGGTGTTTTGTAGCATCAACCAAGTTGGTCTCCCTAAGGATACAGAAGGAGGATTGTGTATCACACATTCTGTTCACCAGCTCACAAAAACAAATATGTCACAGGATATAACTGTGACATATGAGCAAATGAGTAGCTAGTAGCAATTCTGCTCCATTGTTTTTCTTAGAGAAAAGAAGGTAAGCCACAGGGATAGTTAACTCTTTGTAGGGTTCACCTGAGAGGGTAATTACAAAAGGGGCTAGAGTAGTTTCTGGGAAAAAAAAAAAAACACCCATGAAGATGGGTCAGAGATTTAAAAAACAAACAAAAAGTTAATTTCCTTCCATGTCTACAGACCTTAGCTAGGTCTCTTGAGGCAACAAGAGTAGAATCATGCCCAATGTGTATATGGACTTTCACAGTCATTTGTGCATTCATGCAGGGGCATGCTTGATCTGGCTCACACCAGCTCACAGGCGTTGATTGTGCTTATCTTTTTTCCAGTTCCACATTCAGTGATGTCAGGTTGGTAGCTTGAAATCAGCCAGGGTGGGAGTATTTACTGGCAAACATGACAAATCAGAGCTTTTTTCCCCTGGAGAACTGGTTGTTAAACATTTATCAACACGTTGCTGATTTCATGTGAAGGTTTTCTTTATAGCATCAAGAAACTCATTAATATTAACGTCTTCTGGCCATAAAGTCATGGATCCAAGTCCTTTAGTTAGAGTGGCACGAAACAGACAATGATTCCTTTATTTTCAATCATACAGCTTTTCTGATTTTAAGACAATATTTTCAATATCATGGAAGCTTTTTCCATTTAAGTTTTCACTAGGACAGTCATGACTATAACCTGGAACATCACTGATTGTTGACACTGTGTAAGATGCACTACGGAGAGCATCTGTTTGAGAAAAGCTGTTTCCAAATTGGATTTTGTACTGATTCCAGTTTCTTCTCAGAATTGCTTGAACCTATCAATCAAAAAGAAACAGAAAGAACAAGAGCAACCCATTAAGCGAAAAAAAGATGTGTAATTGAACAATAAAATAAGTTTTATAAAAAAGCTTTTTTAAAAATTGAGTGAATTAATGAATAATATTGCTTATTTTCTTGTTTAGTTTAAAAACTAATTTGAGTAAACCATCTTTATATTAGAAAATATATTGCAAATTCTCTGTACTTTTATATTCCATTTTTTCTTTCCATGCTTTGTCTTCAAAGCTTTAACAATGCAGATGTATATATTGTTGTCAAATAGTTAATATAGACCCCCACTTACAAGACGTACAACATCTAGTTTTATATCAATATCTTTATCAATAAAATGATAAGATAATTAGCATGAGTATAAAAAAAGAGGGAAATGATATCAAAGAAAAAGAATTTAGGGATACAGAGAATGTAAATTCTTAGTATCATCATTAGCAGAAGCAGCAACCTTTTATTGAGTGATTCTTATATGCCAGAAATTATGCTACATTCTGGAAAAAAAAAAAGAAAAAAAGCAGGGTATTTGTCTTCATGGAGTCTACTACCAAGAGGGAAGAAAGGTGTTGGACAAATAATTACAAATGGCATGAATATTGTGAAAAAGAAGTTTATGTCCACTTTTATGTATTTGGATTCTCTTTTGCCTGAATTTCAAGTTTAATTACTTTTTTCTCTTCTCTGTTTGGGATTACAGATCAGGACTTAGGTAGGTCATATACAGTTAATTTGTTTTATTTAAACTTAAGACACTAAGACAATTTTTTTCATGTTGAGTCAGAGGACACAAATGAGAGTCCTCAAACTCAATCACCTGGACATTTCCAGATCTAATGAGTGAGCAGACTGGCTTGGGGCAGTCTGCTTCTAGGTTACAAATGTATTAGCTAGATGCATATGCATATTAGACAAGTGCCTATGTCTGCCCAGAGTGTGTACTGTTTTGAGTAGTCTTCCCCAAGCTATCTGCTGATCTTTAGTCCTTTGATTACTTCCCCAAAGGGAATCTGAGCATCAAAAAAGACATTTCCAGATCTAATGAGTGAGCAGACTGGCTTGGGGCAGTCTGCTTCTAGGTTACAAAAGTATTAGCTAGATGCATATGCATATTAGACAAGTGCCTATGTCTACCCAGAGTGTGTACTGTTTTGAGTGGTCTTCCCCAAGCTATCTGCTGATCTTTAGTCCTTTGATTACTTCCCCAAAGGGAATCTGAGCATCAAAAAGCAATTTTTCCAGTAACTCATGTACTATAAACATATTCATGTGATACTTGTTTAACTTTCTGCTACTTATATATAGTTTCTCAACTTTCTATTCACTATATTCATGTATAAAATCAATATTCAATTTTTAAAAAGAGCTTATTTCTTTTCATTTCTTGTGTAATAGGCCAAGAAAACTCAGTTGGCCAAATTACAAACACTCTATAGCAAATAAGTATTCCCAGGATGTCTGTAGATCCATGGAATATTTAAAAATCCCATTAAAGTGTCCCATACTCCATCACTTAAAATGAACACAAAGTTTTACAGTCTCATTTCATGTTTTAGCAGGTAGCAGAAAAAGAAGGAGAAAATACAGACAACAATTTGCTTAGGCCATACTCAAAATGAGCTTTTAGAATTTCCAGTTAGCTTCTCTCTATTCAAAAATTGTACAATTAAAATGCAATTACATGGTTTTAAAAGTTAGATTACTAGGAAGTTCCATAACTTCAGAACTTTCAAAGCTCATTTCTTTAAATATGGTAACCGTATCTGAAGGAAATATTTACATTTATGTAAATGTGCTTTGAAAACAAAAGCATTTATAGGATGATAAATGTTTTTATCTTGCAAAAAATTATACTTTGTTTCCCACGTGATTTAGTAATGTACTTCTAAATTCTCCAAATAAAACATTTAAATTAAGGTAATTTAAAAATAATATCTGCATATGTAATATCTTCAAGAACATAAGCAAATGACAAAATGGCTTTATATTGCGAATTTTAAATAAATATTCAGAGATTTAAAACAAAATAACTTTTAACCAATTATCTAGATATTTCTGATGGGAATTATTTTTGATCCTGATTTTTTATGCTTAATAAATTTCTCTTCACTTTGTTGCTAAATGCTGGGCTGATTGAGTACATAAACTATATAGCTTCTGGCTGAAAGGAAGTGGAATGCAGCTTTGTATAAAAGATTCTACATAAATGTTAAGAAGTTGACAGGAAGAAATGTCTTAGTTGTGAGTCTAGTACTTACTGTCTTAACAAGGAAAGTTTAAATTAATTATAAAAGCCAAAATGGCTTTGAAATATTTGTTTGCTCTTGAAATATATACTTTCATTAAGGTCATCACTCAATTTCTTCCTTGCAAGAAAAACCATGGAAAGCCAAGTTCCTTAATTGTGGGTCTTATCTATTAAAGTTAAAAATAAACCCAATTAAAGCCCCATAGGCTTTGTAGAGTTCTGTTTGTTTATATTATTCTGAATAAGGATGTTACATTTTCTTTCTTTCTTTTTTTTTTCCTTTTTGTCTTTTTTACTGACCGGTAATGGGATCGCAACCCTCGGTGTTGCGCCCGCACCACGCTCAGCCAGTGAGTGGGAACCGGTCTCCACATGGGATCTGAACCCTCGGCGAGAGCGCCGCCACGCTCCCAAGTGGCGCACTCTCCAGTGCGCCACCGGGCCGGCCCAGGGGTGTTACATTTTCATCTGCTTCCTCTAGTGTGGTATCACATTCATAGAACAGGATATTAAAGTGGCCGGTCAATAAACTTTAAATTAGAAACTTTTAATGGGGAAAGGTAACAGTATAAAAATGTCATTCTAAAGAAGACAGCCTGGTGTCATTAAAGATATGAATATGTTTTCCATTGTTTTATGCATGAGTGTTGTATATGCATAAGTAGTAAGGCCAAATGTTTAAAATATAACATTACAACTTTATGTACCCATTAACGTCTGATACAAGGAAACAACTTTATATTCCTTAATCTAAATCAGCTGAAAAATATTTAATATAGCTTTGTATAAAAATTTCACCTACTTCTCATTACAGGATGTGGGTTCAGTTGTTCTCAACAAATATTTCTGTTAACTTTATAAAAATATCTATCCTCGGGTGTTGTTAGATACACTCTTTTTATGACTGGAGTGCCTACTTTATGTTCACAGTTCACATTTTTGTCTAAGTAGACTGAGGATGAAATGAAAGTGGCCTGAGCACTTGCCAAGCTTACTTAACTAGTGAAAAACACTAATAGAAGAAGTTGGCAAAAAAATAAGTGAAAGGTGAGAGTAAAAAAAAAAAAAAGTGCAGCTTTTAAAGCAAGCCATTTGACCTAATGTGGAAAGAAAGAAGGAAACTAAGCCTGAGAAAATGATTTTAAGAAGTACATGACATAGTTGGAACCACACAAAATGAAACTGGCAGCTGTTTCTTCACGTTATGAGAGTGGGAAAAACTAAGAGGCAATGAGACAGAAAGGGAGGGATTATAGTATTTCTTAAGATGAGAAAGGAATCATACTCACACAGGGATTGAATCTCCAGAGATGAAGAAAAGGGAACAGATATTAGAGATTTGTGAAGAACTAAAGGATTTGGCAACAACCTGGCTCAAAGATTTTTGTATTATTTAATTTTCCAATGCCAAAATTTTCTCAATTTTAGGACATGGCAGAAGATCAAGGTTCTGTGTCTCTTTTGCTTACACAGATAGAGTGTAACAGGAGTGTTAGGCACTAGTTTGTTTATTGCCTGGTCACTCTTTCTAAATAAAAGAGTCAATTTGAAATTTCGATTTCAATATGATT